GGTTCATGGGGTCACGAAGAGTCGGACACGACTTAACGACTAAACAACAACAACAACATAACGCTGTTGTGCAATTCTTCCACTTAAAATCAACACATTTATTCTGAGTTTTATAGATCCAGCCTCAACAAAACTGTAACAGCGAAGAGGTTTGGAAGAAGTTCACAGTCAACTAACTACTATTTAAAGAGCAAAGGTTTCAGACCAGATGGATAAGAGCTACATTTTCTAAAGCAACATTTCACATGCATGGTGCCATTTTAAGATTTGGATATATGATTGCTATGATCTTCTAGATGAAAGGGTTTGAAGAAAAAGCATTTTAAAAAAATAACGTTTTCTTACACTTCAACATTTTTCTGCTGGAGTCCAGACGTTTTCTTGCCTGGAGCAGCCCCTCTCATCTTTCCTTCCGCATACTGTTCCCTTTGAAAGGAAGGCAGTGAAGAAGGTTTAATTAGACACATATGTACATCTCCCTACTGGGGGAAAGGAAGGCAGCCCCTCCCAAAGAACATTCTGGCCCCTCCTGCTGCTGCAAGAGGAGTTTGTACTTCTTTGGAGGACCAGGGCTGTCTTTGGCCCTGTGCAGCACGCAGGAGAGATCATTCCAAGAATGAGGCCGAAAGGGCAGCAAAACTACAACGTGCACAATCGCAACTGTCACCAGATTTCAGCTTAAATGAAGTAATTCACTTAAAATGACTACTTCCATAAATGTAAGACTCTTCCCCTTCTTTTACCTAAAGACAGGATAGGGATTATGGGCCTTGTAGGAATCAGGAAAGCCATTCTGACCTCTAATTAAAGGACTTCAACTCCCTCCCAGTCTAACTTTCCTCCACAGGGAGCATCGACTATGGCTCAAAACAATCCTTGTGCTTGAGCCAAGGGTCTGCCCACAAAGGAGGCAGCCGTCAACAGCAGTCCCCTGGAGAGTCCGCCAAACCAACCACTCCAGCTTGGGTGATCCTGAGCTAGAGGTGGGATGCACAGTAAGGAGTTCCGGGGAGGCCACACTCCAAAAATTACTGGGCTACAACACAGGCACTCAAAACAACACCAACTGCCAACCAAAATATACTGACTTCTTCCACCTAGAAAAATGATTCAACAGAAAATAAAGGTATTTCCCCCTGAACTGAAAAATAAGATGTACCTAACCCTATTTGTATATTCTTGTTACTACCTGGGTAGTTTTTTGTTTTTGGTTCCTGCAGTGTGCCCACCCTCATCCAAAAAATTAAAAAACCAAGGTGTAACAGTTTAAAAAGAAGGATTACTGATATTTTTCTTCCCTAGGATGTCAAAGATTAACACATTTAACAATAAGACAGAGTGGTCACAGTAAAGGACAAGCATGTTCTTTGGAGCAGTTAACAGAGAACCCTGAATCACAAAACATCACATTCTAGAACGAGCCAAAAGCCAAAAAACAGGCAGGGGGGTGGAAATATGGGCCACTCTGGTTTCCAACAGCTGCTGGAACAGGCCAGACTCCATCTCTTTTCCACCAAGTAAGGGGGCAGCAGTTCTCATTCGCTCCTCTGGTGGAAAGTAAAGCAAGAGCCCCCCACCCGATTTGGCTGTCAGTGGTGCATTCTAGCCAGCACCCTCCATAAAAACACCTGTCATTTTGCTAGCATCTAGTAAGAATCGTCATAAATGCGACAGAAGACAGAACTGAAGAAACTAGTGGCAGCAACCCCAAAAAGGGTAGTAGAAAAAAAATGTGAGGTAACGTTTTTGTCAGGGCGAGATTCACTGCTTCACTGCTACGGAGCTGTAGAAAAAGGATTAAAGGTGAATAATGTAACATACAGAACTGCAGTAGCTTAAATGCTTTTAAACATTTAAAAGCCTCAGTCTAATACAAGTCTCAGATTGGCACTGCACACTGACTACTCACGCAGGGAAGACCCGGATGCAGAGAGACTTTAACAAGGACCTAAAAAACATCACAGTTGGTACCATTCAAACGCTGGGCTCGTGGGAGCCACCACAGAGGTTTGGTGATCACATTACAAATGGCAAGGTAATTCCTCCAATTATCTTAGCAATTACACAGGTCTCCATGAAGGAACTGAACCCCAGGTTGTTGAGTATCTGCCGCTAAGACCTCGAACCTGTCTTAGGTGCCTATCACCAACCAACAGAATTGCTGGATGCAGTCGACCAACCCTCATCAATCTTCTACACCGAAATGGTTTTATTGGATAATACTTACTGATTGGCCTTTTGAAGTTCTTTCTGCTTCTGCAGATTGGTGTCGACGTATTTGAGGACTCTGCTTTCTGGAACCCATTCATCCCAGCTGAAAGAAAACGGAACAGCTTTTGGACCACATAACACGGAGGCTGTAACTTCATAAAAAAGGCGGGGACCTCTGCCTTTATTTCTGGCAGCTTCAAATAGGGCAACAGCTAAATACACAGCGGCTAGATTAACTCAACACACCGAAATCAGAAACCGAACTAACCCATTTTTCAGATACATACAACGCTGTGCGTTCATATTCTACTCTCCAAGGAAAGTTAAGTTATAGTACAATATTTTGTATTGGACAAATCACTTCTAGAATAGTTCTGGACCCCACATTTTTGGGAGTGTGGGGCCTTAACCCACAGCTTGTCCAGAGGAGAGCAATCAGGGTGACAAAGGGCCCGGAAAGAAAAAGTTAGGGGGAACAGCTGAAGGTGTCGGGTACGTTCATCCTGGAGAAGACAAGACTGCAAGGAAACAGGACGCCTGCCTGGATGGCTGATCTGCAGAAGAGGGGGCAGAATTGTCTGGACAGGAGAGGAAACAATGGGTTTGAATTACAAGGCAGCTAGCCATCAGGAAGACCCCCCTAATGGGAAGAGATCTTCTTCCGCTGGACCGGTCAGCCTCTCCTGGGCTGGAGAGCCACCGGTCAGGGAGGCTAGAGTGGCGGGTTCCTACCCTGGGCGGAGCGGACTAGACGGTCTTCCAGGTTCCTCCAACCTTTACGGCCACGATTCCAACATAAAGGCTACAGATAACGAGACTGTGCAGCGTGAAAAGAATGCACGCCAGACACGAACAAGAAAAAATCCCAGGATCACAAGCAAGTCCAAACCTCTGGGGCCGGAAGGCCGGCTGAGGCGCCTCCGGCGGTGGGGCCGCCAGAAGGGCCCGGGGCGCTCCGGGGCAGCTGGCCGCGGCGGGTACTCACTTCTTATTCCAGCCGCTGTAGTGGATGAAGTACTTCACCTGCTTGTCCTTGATGGCCACCTTCACGCACTAGAAGGAGGAGAGGCGTTTACTGAGAGACCGCCTCGAGCGGGAGAGGCTCGGCTCCGGGGAGCCCTCGGCCTTCTTCGGCGCCCGGGGCGAGCCTGCAGCCCGGGATCGCCCGGTGGTCTCCCATCCGAGGTCGGCCGCCGGCCGCCCCTGCGGGGAAGGGCCGCCACGTACCTTGGCTTCGTACAGGAGAGGCCCGTGGAAGCACAGCACCCGTTCACCTGCGCGGAAACGGGCGTTAGTGGCGGCGGGGCCGCGCGGGGAGCATAG